ATTTATTGATCTTCCAATTTTTTCTTTCTCGGTTTTCTCTTGTTAGTGTTTTTTACCACCAATTTTAGCATTGCACGGTTTTATGCATTTTAATTCAATGAGATATTGTGTATATATATGTTTTAGATTTTGTATCTGATTCTTTGAATGAGTTATTATACCTTGTTGACATCGTAGCCCCTCCTCCCAGCCTGAGACTGCCCAACCCAGAGGGGAGGGCCAAATTTCAGTCTGTGGGCATAAATGGGAGCGTACACTCTCAGTCCAGCTAGCTCTGTTGAAGAAGGCATAGCCTTCGAAATGCGTCAGCTTTACTGAGTGTCTACCCCCATGATGGGATTCGCGCTGGCTCCCTATGTCTGAAGTCCCTCAGAGGACTTACATGCCTGTTTTTATTCGCTGTTTGTGAGTACCATTCCTTTATCAATAAATTTTTGGTTACTGAGGTAATGCGCAAGGTTGGTGCGCTTCTCGTTGGCTGTTTCTGTACCATGTGATCACTGTGACCAGTCTACATGCTCATCACAATATTTACACAATGAATGACTATGAATAAAACCCATTAATTACGTACAACTGTCATGTGATCACTGTGATTGGTCACATGGTACTGGGGCTGGCCCAGTACAATAATCTGTCACCCGCTGTGTCCGGTGGGAAACGTGCTGAAGCACAGCTCCTAGAGCACGCGCAAAGTGCATGACTGGGAGGATGTCATATGACCCAGGATGGGAGAGCTCCCACTCAACCATTATTCTGCTGTGGGCTAGGTGGGAAGCAATTAAAGAAAGTATAAGAAAAAAATGTAGTGTGAAGTTAAATGCTGTCACTTCCTTATTCCCCAATCCATATAGCCCACTGCTCTAAATGAGACCAAGGGGATAGTCTGTTTGGAGAGACAGGCTGGAGAAGTATTAAATCTGGGTCACCCAGAAAGAGTGGGTTGAAGTGTATATGACACCTAAAAGTTAAAGTCCGGGAGCAAAGGAGAAAAGAAAAGGAAGTGGGGGAGGGAGGAAAAAAGCGTGCAGAGATAAAGCAACAAAAGTAGATTCCTCCTGGGTCAAGATGAACCACACCTTCCAGACACTGAATCTGGTATCTCATTGGGAAGAATTGAAATTTTGGGACATAACTCGCAAATATTAATTCGTGGTCATGAAGTGCCACCAGACTGTCCAAAACGTCTCTTGTGAATTGTAAAAAAACTTATTCAGTTTTTTATACCACATGAATTTAGAAAGTGGGGGGAGGCTGTTTCCACAGTAAGGGTATGCAGGTTTTTGACACATTTAACATTTGTATAATAAGAGAGGCTTTATATTTTTAAATTGGATCTCTCTTTAAGGTGGAATATGCACACAGATGGATTTTGGCTCGGGTCAACCTGGGTGAGTTGTCTAATCATGAAGATCACACCCTCCCAAAAAAGTTGTTTTCGGGATGTGACCAAAATATGTCATAAATCCCATCTCAATACCAGAACACCAACATGTTTTTAGAAGATGATTCATTTTTGAAGAATAGAAGAAACTTTGTACCATCTTGATACAACCTTATATTCCAATCTCTTGGAATCAATTAGTGATAGAGGATTTTTTGAGAAAAGTATAATAGTTTCCCTCTTTCTCCCCTGCTGATTCATAAGACGAAGACACAATTTTTTTATTCCTATTTTCGGAGAAAAGGAGGCAAATCTGTATCTACCGTAACGAGTTGATTGTACAGGAGCAAGAGAGTATGACGCATCAGCTGACGAGACTAGATTAAAAGAATGGGTTTGAAAGTTGTCAATGAATGAAAAATACCTTGCTCTCTGGATAACAAGAGCAAAAAAGTGTCACAGCTGGAAAGAACTTCAGGGGTCCAACGGGGGGGAAGTTGTCAGTAAATTTGGCTATTATTATAGACATCAGGGATTAAATTTGAGACACAAAATCTACAAAGTGAACCTTACCAGTAGATGAAAGTCACCTAACGTTCTTAGTGAAGCCTGATGAGAAATCTTATTTCCAATAACTGGGATGAATGGGGGCGAGTGCGGTGTTGAGGTGGAGGATCGAAATTTTGCCCTCGCTAATTTCACTATTGTACCTATTGAGGGGTGTCCAAGCAAATCAGAAGGCAACGGAGCTGAAAGTCATGGCAAACCAAGGCCAAAAGGAGTAGTCTTCCAGTTCCTAGGTGACCAGTCTTTTGCTTTCCATGCCAAAACTAGTCCACTAGTCTGGACAGGTAGGGGCACAAACCCTACCTGGTCTGCATGGATAAGGAAATGTAAGTGTGGCAAAAGCCTCTTTGCCAGTATTTTAGCAAAATAATTTGATCAGCATTTAGCAAACCAATGAGCTTGTAGTTACTGCACTGGAATAGATGCGTGTCTTCTTTATTTATAAGGGATATAGGCCTTATAGAAGTGAGTAGGAAGGCATGGTTCAGTCTTGGAGCAGAGAGTTGCATGCATGGCCTTTTCCAGGTGTGGTTTGGACAATTACATTTCCTAATTCCATCTCAGTATGGGGGGTTCCAATACTTCTCTAGCCAACGCCATCAATCAGAACAGGCATGCCTGAGGCCTAAATGTTAGATAATTGCAGCCTTATGTTGGGTGTCTGTCTGATTTAGATCTGGGTTAAGTTGTAGAGGGGCCATATAGAAATCCCTGAATTCCGCTAATATCGCAGATGAAATGGTCACTTTGTGTCCAGGTTTGGATAAAAAGTGTGAGATTTATGATTTAATGCGGGGTCCCTAATGGGCTCTGGCTAATAAGGTGCCTAGTCCTCACAAAGACGTGGGCTAGCTGGTTACACTTTAACGCTTTGGATGAATACAAGAACCTTATTTCCGAACCATTAAATTATCAATTAAGACAGACTACGGGTATCCAATTATTGGGGGAGTCTGCCACTCTGCCACTGTAGGAAGAATCGCTAAACTCCCCCTACCACCCAGTGGGGGAATAATGTTTTGTATACCCTTTGCTCCCAGTCTGTGATGGAAGGGGGGAAACTGATCACACTGATGTATGGCTGTTTCCCCTCTTTCTGCCCCCCCCCCTTCCCCTCTATACCCTCCGTGTTTTTTTTTTCTCCCTCTCAAAGTCCATCTGGGCACCTTCCCTAGACGTTTCCTGAAAATTTGCTTGTCTACATTGCCTGTGGTTGACTGGATGAGGAGCATTATGGATCTGTCTCTGTTAGGAATGGGACTGGCCAGCAATGGTGGGTCTCACCTGCCTTTTGATCTGCAGTACCAGGGCTGGCCAGCGGGTGCTCCCAGCAATCAGAGACTCAACCTTTCAGCCAGCTAACACCTGTAACTGATGATGCTGGGGTATTTAAGGAATGGGCAGACACACAGACTCTGCCTTGGTGTTGTGTTTGTCCTGGGCCCCTGTATCTGTCCTGCATCCTGTTCCTGTTCCTTTGCTGACTTCTCCTGCTCTGATCCTGGCTTGTGGACCCTGACCATTCCTCTGTCTGACCCTCTGTACTACGCTGCTTGCTACTGTTCTGATCCCTGGCTTGTGACCCGGACCATCCCTCTGTCTGACCCTCTGTACTATGCTGCTTGCTACCTGCTGAACCTGGCCTGTGACCCCGGACTATTCTCCGCTTGCTCCCCCTGTACCTACCTGCCCTATTGATATTGACCCGGCCTGCCTGACGACGCTTGCTTGTAATATACTGTTATCTGTGGGTGGTTGGTTTGGTTTGTTTGCACTGTATTATGTTTAGTATTGCACTGCGTTTATGTTTGTACTGTTAGTCTTTAATAAATTATATTGTTTATAACATATCTGAGGTCTGCGTTTCCCTGTTTCAGTCACACACACTCTGGTCATACCTGGAGCCCTGACATTACACCAAGGCCAATCCTGACCAGAAGTGGCTGCACAGGGAAGCCATCTTGGCTTGTTGATGGGAAGGATGGATCTGGATGAGGTTGAATATTTATATCTGCTAGTGTTTGATGACAGGGAGTATGCTTATCAAACTCTGAAGGAGTATACCCGGGATGAATTGCTAGAATGTATACGGCTCGCTCATGTTCTAGTAGATCAGGGCACAGTGTTCTCTGAGGTGCAGCCATTGATTGAGGTTTGTGCAGAGTTGGTTTCATCTGGTTCCCCCGAATGCAGGGATGAATTTTTGCCACCATTTAGTGCAGACCAGGTAGAGTCCCTGGTGTGGTTATTAGAGGATGATGTGGGTTTACTTTCTGGAGCGTTATTCCACATGTTCACCACAGACACTGCAAGATTGTATAAACGCAGTGCAGTCATTGACCAGACAGGCTTTGTGTAAGCTCAGCTTTGTTCAACCCCTACTGCAGACATGGACAGACTTGTTGCACCCAGCCTCAGTCAGCTTACAAAAACCCAGTCCTGTTTCTAACTCTACTCCTGTATTCCCACCAGCTCCTCCAGTTACCGCCCAGTATACTTGGCTATCTACCGCATGTCAGTACCCTGTTCCCACTCGCTGCACCTATCCTGCCTTTAACCCTGCAAAAAAGCCCTCTGTAGCAACTGCTCCCTCTCCTGTTCCATCCTCCAGTTTTTCTCTGTCTCCAGCTGCTCCATTCGTTTGCAGACCTGCGTTTACTTGCAGTACTCCAGTAATTAAAACCAGAAAAAAGCGCGAAAATTCTTTCCAACCAATACCATCCTGCCAGTATCCAAAGCCGAAGCCTCTCTTCAGCCTGAAGCCCTCTTCGGCCTGAAGCCTCTCTTCAGCCTGAAGCCTCTCTTCGGCCTCTCTGCCGGATGCCTCTCTTCAGCCGGATGCCTCTCTTCAGCCGGATGCCTCTCTTCAGCCGGATGCCTCTCTTCAGCCGGATGCCTCTCTTCAGCCGGATGCCTCTCTTCAGCCGGATGCCTCTCTTCAGCCGGATGCCTCTCCTCAGCCTGAAGCCTCTCCTCAGCCTGATGCCTGCATTCAGCCTGATGCCGCTACTCAGCAGGATGAACTGATCCAGCCCGACGATCCTATTAGGCCAGTTGACTCGATGCCCGCTGTTGATCCAGATGAACCGGTACCTGATCCAGTGCCCGCTGTCATGCCAATTGACTCAGAGCCCGCTGTCATACCTGGTGACCCGGTGCCCACTGCCTTGCCAGATGACGCGGTGCCCGCTGGCAAACCAAATGACCTGATGCCTGGTGACCCAGTGCCCGCTGTCATACCTGGTGACCCGATGCCCGCTGTCGAGCCAGACAATCCGGTACCTGATGCCCCGGAGCTCACTGTCGTGCCTGTTGACTCGGAGCCCACTGCCTTGCCAGATGACGCAGTGCCCGCTGTCGAGCCAAATGACCTGATGCCTGGTGACCCAGTGCCCGCTGTCCAGTCAGACGATCCAATGTCTGACCCAGTGCCCGCGGTCATACCAGTTGACTCGGAGCCCACTGCCTTGCCAGATGACGCGGTGCCCGCTGACAAGCCAAATGACCTGATGCCTGGTGACCCAGTGCCCGCTGTCCAGTCAGACGATCCAATGTCTGACCCAGTGCCCGCGGTCATACCAGTTGACTCAGAGCCCACTGCCTTGCCAGATGACGCGGTGCCCGCTGTCGAGCCAAATGATCTGATGCCTGGTGACCCAGTGCCCGCTGTCCAGTCAGACGATCCAATGTCTGACCCAGTGCCCGCGGTCATACCAGTTGACTCGGAGCCCACTGCCTTGCCAGATGACGCGGTGCCCGCTGTCGAGCCAAATGACCTGATGCCTGGTGACCCGATGCCCGCTGTCCAGCCAGACGATCCAATGTCTGACCCAGTGCCAGCGGTCATCCCAGTTGACTCGGAGCCCACTGTTGTGCCTGGTGACTCGGTGCCCGCCGCCCCGCCTGGGGGCCCGAGACCTGTCGTTCCGCCTGAGGGCCCGAGACCTGTCGCTCCACCTGGGGGTCCGGCGCCCGCCGCTCCGCCTGAGGGCCCGAGACCTGTCGCTCCATCTGGGGGTCCGGCGCCCGCCGCTCCGCCTGAGGGCCCGAGACCTGTCGCTCCTCCTGGGGGTCCGGCGCCCGCCGCTCCGCCTGAGGGCCTGAGACCTGTCGCTCCACCTGGGGGTCCGGCGCCCGCCGCTCCGCCTGAGGGCCCGAGACCTGTCGCTCCAGCTGGGGTCCGGCGCCCGCCGCTCCGCCTGAGGGCCCGAGACCTATCGCTCCATCTGGAGGTCCGGCGCCCGCCGCTCCGTCTGGGGGTCCGATGCCTGTCGCCCCGCCTGGGGGTCCGATGCCTGTCGCCCCGCCTGGGGGTCCGATGCCTGTCGCCCCGCCTGGGGGTCCGATGCCTGTCCGATGCCGCCCCGCCTGGGGGTCCGATGCCTGTCGCCCCGCCTGGGGGTCCGATGCCTGTCGCCCCGCCTGGGGGTCCGATGCCTGTCGCCCCGCCTGGGGGCCCGATGCCTGTCGCCCCGCCTGGGGGCACGAGGCCTGTCGCCCCGCCTGGGGGCACGAGGCCTGTCGCCCCGCCTGGGGGCCCGATGCCTGTCGCCCCGCCTGGGGGCCCGATGCCTGTCGCCCCGCCTGGGGGCCCGATGCCTGTCGCCCCGCCTGGGGGCCCGATGCCTGTCGCCCCGCCTGGGGGCCCGATGCCTGTCGCCCCGCCTGGGGGCCCGATTGCCTGCTGCTGCTCCGCCCGGGGGCCCGGTGCCTGCTGCTCCGCCCGGGGGCCCGGTGCCTGTCGCCCCGCCCGGGGGCCCGGTGCCTGTCGCCCCGCCCGGGGGCCCGGTGCCTGTCGCCCCGCCCGGGGGCCCGGTGCCTGTCGCCCCGCCCGGGGGCCCGGTGCCTGTCGCCCCGCCCGGGGGCCCGGTGCCTGCTGCTCCGCCTGGTGGCCCGCTGCCTGCTGCTTCGCCTGGTAATCCGATGTGCCTCTGCCCGGAGTCCTGCCCGATGTGCCTCTGCCCGGAGTCCTGCCCGATGTGCCTCTGCCCGGAGTCCTGCCCGATGTGCCTCTGCCCGGAGTCCTGCCCGATGTGCCTCTGCCTGGAGTCCTGCCCGATGTGCCTCTGCCTGGAGTCCTGCCCGATGTGCCTCTGCCCGATGTGCCTCTGCCCGGAGTCCTGCCCGATGTGCCTCTGCCCGGAGTCCTGCTGCCGATGTGCCTCTGCCCGATGTGCCTCTGCCCGGTGTGCCTCTGCCCGGTGTGCCTCTGCCCGGTGTGCCTCTGCTCGATGTGCCGCTGCCCGGGAGTCCTGCCCGATGTGCCTCTGCCCGGTGTGCCTCTGCCCGGAGTCCTGCCCGATGTGCCTCTGCCCGGAGTCCTGCCCGATGTGCCTCTGCCCGGAGTCCTGCCCGATGTGCCTCTGCCTGGAGTCCTGCCCGATGTGCCTCTGCCCGATGTGCCTCTGCCTGGAGTCCTGCCCGATGTGCCTCTGCCCGGAGTCCTGCCCGATGTGCCTCTGCCCGATGTGCCTCTGCCTGGAGTCCTGCCCGATGTGCCTCTGCCCGGTGTGCCTCTGCCCGGTGTGCCTCTGCTCGATGTGCCTCTGCTCGATGTGCCTCTGCTCGATGTGCCTCTGCTCGATGTGCCTCTGCCCGGAGTCCAGCCCGGTGTGCCGCTGCCCGGAGTCCTGCCCGGTGTGCCAGTCTTTGATATCCCGCCAGTTGCCAGACCCGGGCGGTGGAACATTTTGCCCAGCTAGGACTGTTTGGAGCGTCCTGAGGCCGCTCCTTGAGGGGGGGGTACTGTTAGGAATGGACTGGCCAGCAATGGTGGGTCTCACCTGCCTTTTGATCTGCAGTACCAGGGCTGGCCAGCGGGTGCTCCCAGCAATCAGAGACTCAACCTTTCAGCCAGCTAACACCTGTAACTGATGATGCTGGGGTATTTAAGGAATGGGCAGACACACAGACTCTGCCTTGGTGTTGTGTTTGTCCTGGGCCCTGTATCTGTCCTGCATCCTGTTCCTGTTCCTTTGCTGACTTCTCCTGCTCTGATCCTGGCTTGTGACCCTGACCATTCCTCTGTCTGACCCTCTGTACTACGCTGCTTGCTACCTGTTCTGATCCCTGGCTTGTGACCCGGACCATCCCTCTGTCTGACCCTCTGTACTATGCTGCTTGCTACCTGCTGAACCTGGCCTGTGACCCCGACTATTCTCCGCTTGCTCCCCCTGTACCTACCTGCCCTATTGATATTGACCCGGCCTGCCTGACGACGCTTGCTTGTATATACTGTTATCTGTGGGTGGTTGGTTTGGTTTGTTTGCACTGTATTATGTTTAGTATTGCACTGCGTTTATGTTTGTACTGTTAGTCTTTAATAAATTATTGTTTATAACATATCTGAGGTCTGCGTTTCCCTGTTTCAGTCACACACCTCTGGTCATACCTGGAGCCCTGACAGTCTCACTCAATAGTAGGCACTACTATACCCTACAAGAAGTTCCGACTCGTGGTTTGGGGAGAGCAGGGAAGGGGGAGTGTTTTTAGCTATAATACCTGCCTTGGGAGAGTGCTGGAAGACTTACTGGAAAAGAGGACCATTGGGTGTGACGTATCGCTCTGCACGAGGAAGCCCAGGCGGAACGGTTCCGCCACAATTGGTTGCCAGCAGTGGGATCTTTCCTCATTGCGGAGAAAGTCCAAACCACCAACCGGGACCCCATCTTTTTCATGGAGATGTCCCTGCTCAGCCAGATGGATATACGGGACCTCTGAAAGCCAGCCCTCCAAAGCCTGCTTGTCGCTCGGGGAGGTATCGCTGGCTCCAAGACCAGAGAGGAACTGTTGGCTGAGATAATGACCCTGGACCAAGCGGATGCGCACCCCACTTCACCTGAGCACACTCCACTACGCTTAAAGTGAACACTGCTCCGCCAGAAGTGAACTCTGCGTCACAGGAGGAGTTGGAGGAACAGAGCAGCTCATCGGCCCCTGAAACGCCAGGCCCGCTTAGCACCGTACGGAGACCCCTATACCATTCAGATTTAGGACAAGAGGTGGAGTGGCGTTTGTCTCTGGCAGCGCTCCTACCCCTAGATTTCCAAGGCCCTGGACGATGCCACCCAACTGCGGCTTAGTCACTCCCGGTCATCAACCAAGGACTCGGTCTGGGAGAGGATTACCTCCTGCCTTCTCCAGACTGCAACCGGACCAAAGAAAATTCCCTACGCTGCTTTTAAAACTTTCTCAGAGACGGATGGGGACATTGACAGCTTTCTTCAGGACTTTGAACGGTTGTGCACCATCCATGGTGTGGCAACCTAAAACCGGGTCCCTATTTTGAGCAGCAAGCTAACCGGTCGGGCTGCAGACGCATTCAGGACTGTACCTGACAGCTACTGCTTGGATTATGATTTTGTTAAGGAACACTTGTTGGCCCGCTACGCTCTCACCCCAGAGGCGTACCACTTAAAGTTCCGGATACTCAAGAAGAAACCCCAGGACACCTTCACTGAATGGGGACATCAGTTACAACATGCTGCCCGCAGCTGGGTCCAAGGATGTCAGATCACAAGCTAGAGGAACTGTTACAACTGCTGTTACTGGAGCAGTTTTAGGGAATATTAGACATTGGGTCCGGGACAAACACCCCCTAACCTTAGCCGACGCTCGTCGCTGGGCAGATGAGTACCTGGACAACAGGAGGCTAACCGAGCCCACCATTCCCCCTGCACCTCATCCGCAACCAGTGGTGCCCACTCCGGTCACCCGAGAATGCCTTAGACCACCCACACCTTCTGACCCAAAGTGGTCTGGCCCACACTGTTATGGCTGCAACCAAACAGGGCACATCCGCATTCATTGCCCCCACAATCCACCAAGGCTCCAGAGCAGCCAACCCCCTCAGGGCACTTCCAACCGACCTACCACTCCCTATGGCTGAGCCTCTGCCTACTCTCTACAGGACCACCCAAGTGACACCACCTCTTCATGGAGGAATTTTACCACCGAGGATGAGGACATCGGGGTCTTTCATTAGGCTAACCCTCTCCAGGCTGCCACCCCGGATAATAGCCGACGTCACCAACAGGTTGTCCATGTTAACGGCCATCAGGCCCAAGGATTACGGGACACTGGAGCCACACTCACCCTAGTCCAACCCCAACTGGTACCAGACTAAGCCAAGACCGGGCGATCTGTGGCCGTACGGGTAGCGGGAGGCCATATCTAACGGATTCCTACCGCAAGGCTTCATCTGGATTGGGGGGCCGAGGCCAGGTACGTTGAAATTGGAATAATGCAGAACTTGCCAGCTGAGGTTCTCCTTGGAAATGATCTGGGAGTCCTGGTCTCCACTTTTTGGCACCGAAACCCCTGCTGAAGCTCAACCAGTACCCGACCGGGGAAGCAAAACGCCAACGCGTATGGGTTGTCCCGGCAAGCCAAGTTGAAGAAGTGAACCTCTGAACCGACCAGCCCCAAGCTGACCCGTTTGAAGGTCTCGCCGGGTCTGGCGGGTGTTACACAACGGGGGAGCCTTGTGACGAATTGTCCCTTTGTGATACCATTTTGCTTTTTCTGTTTCAGTTTTCTTCCCTTTGTAAAGCTGGACATGTTTCACAGACATTCTACACTGTTTGTTTAGGGTAATGTGACCTTGTAGTCATTCACCTCTAATAGGGTTTGTACTGTATTGTAGGGTTTGTTGTGGGTGGGGGAAAACCCGGTGCCAGGCTGTTGGGTGGGGGTGAAGTTGTATATACTGAACTGTGTTTAATAAAGAGTCATTCATTTTCACCATACACGAAGTTCCAACTCATGGTTTGGGGAGAGCAGGGAACGGAGTGTTTTTAGCTATAATACCTGCCTTGGGAGAGTGCTGGAAGACTTGCTGGAAAAGAGGACCATTGGGTGTGACTTATCGCTCCGCACGAGGAAGCCCAGGCGGAACGGTTCTGCCACAGGGGAAAAAAAATAAGGTGCCTGGTTTGTTAGAGAACCTGTACATAGTACGCCTATCCCATGCTAGTTACTGTTTAGTATTCTGGAACAGTAAACTGTTCAAGTCCTCCCTGGCTTTAGTTCA